TACTTAACTGAAAACCAAATATTCCACGGATCCATGATTTATCACTATATTGATTGTATGTAATAATAATTCAATTTTAGTTGTGAGTTGATAAATATACGAGGGGTTGATCAATAAGTTCTCGGCCTCATCACGAAACAAGGACGGAATTCATATTCTGGGGTATAACTTTATACTATAATGTCTTAAGTCACTACCTATAGAAATGCAAATTTAAATATTCATTAATAAGCACTTGGTGCCCATTTAAAATCAGCAGGTGAGACGAAAATCACAAAATGGACCAGACAGAAGCATGTGCTGTGATCAAGTATCTCTATAAAAGGGGGATGACTCCCAAAGAAATCCACGAAGACATGGTCACGACACTTGATGAGGACTCCCCTTATTCCGCTGAAAAGAACTTAAAAGTGGGTTGCTAATTTTAAGCGAGGCTAGGAGAGGACGAAATCTGCCACCACGGACAATCAGGTTGAGGCCATCCATCGCATGGTAATGAATGACAGACATGTCACTATCCGACATATCGGGCATTCACTTGGGGATGAGAAAGCTGTCTGCAAGGTGGGTGCCCCGAATGTTGAATCAACATCAGAAGATTGAGAAATTTGAAATTCATGATATTATTGATAACTGGTATAAAAAGATTATTTATAAATAATCATATCTGATGTTCATTATAACATATAATATGGATAAATATGACTTATAAATAAAAAAAAAACCACAAAGAGTAACCCATAGGCTACATGGGCTGGTAAATAACACTAACAAGAATCCAAATTGGTCTGCACTTTGCACAAACATTCAGTATTCTTATTTCTACTGATAATGTGTTGGCGCATACACATAGAATACTGTCTTTACACGTATACACTCAATGTCCACTCACCATGAAAGTAGACTCACTCTGAAGCTACTAGATTATAAACACAAAAATATCATACAGTAGGATATACGACTAAAACATGCAGGTTGTTGACTATGAATATTTGTATAACATCGTGTAAAAACAACACGCGTACATTCGGGAAGACTTTCCATTTCACCCCACTCCTAATCCTAGCTCTACCCCCATCTTTACATCCCACTGATCACAAATAACGCCGCTTCTTGGGGACACCAATTGTTATCGAGA